AAGTAGCATTACATCTAGTTTATTTTATAACGTCGTTCAAAAAGAAGTTTTGCGGTAACGGTTTTTATAATATTATCAGCGCTCTCATTAAAAGTGCAATGAATACAGAGATTGCAACCTGCGTGTTCTGTTGTGGTCCTCGAAGCCGCAAAGTCGTTCACCTCACCTAACTCATTGCTTTGCTTTGCGATGACACTGGTCAGATGAGAAAATACATAACCCGAAATGGAATTATTGATTATTATTTAATAAATTATATATTATATTGCAAATGATGATGTTATGTTATGATTTCTGTTTTATTTTGTTTATATATTACATTATCTGTAATGTAAAACATATTCGTCGATAATAAAGCTGTCTGCGATTTATCTCATATTTAGTCATCATTCAGCCATGTTTACGCTTTGAAGATTTTACTATTCTAATAAATAATTAGTCCCTTTTTTATTTTAATAACATAAGTCCTCTTTTGCTAAATTGAAGCAATAAACATTCATTTAAGTATAGGTTTACATCGAATAGTTTAATTTAGCGTAATTAGAATTAAGAAAATACAACTTGAAAATTGAGATAGATGATTTAGGCAAATGTTTATACATCAAACTGTAAATAAGTATGAAATAGATGAATGAATGCAAGTTGAAATTTTGACCTACGGCTTAAATTAAGACTTATTGTCCGATCAAAGGTGATTATAATGAGTTACTTGTAAATAATTATATTTGTGTGAGCAGTGCTGGATTAACCCATAGGCCTGTAAGGCCCGGGCCTAGGGGGCTTCATTTAAGGATTGATTCTGATCTGATTTTATTAAATTTACGGGTAGTTTTCTATGGAATACAATGTTATTAACTTCCTGTAGGGTAAGTTTTTGTAATCGTCAAAAAATCGAAATTGAAAATTTTTACATTTCTTCACGTTTTGAAGATTTCTGAACATTTTGGCATACCTCAGAAAAAATGGATGTATGTGTGTGCGTGTGCATGTATGTATGGATACAATTTTTTGTTGATGTGCTGATTAGTTTTTGGCAAAAGCAGATTCGGCCGTTATGGAAGTAAGAAGGAGCAAAGAGTGCAGAAAGTAGAAGTCGAGTTTTTGAGAGAACGGAGCATCCGATTTGAATGTCCCAAAAAACATTCAATTTGTAATGATTGCCAAAGGCGTTGCAAAGATACAGAGCTAAATGTACATAAAATGACAGTTTTTGAGAGAACTAAGCATCCAATTTGAATGATTCAAAAAACTTTCTGCTTGTGATCACGAAACAATTACTTTTGGAGAAAAAAATTTTCATTTCAATTTTTTTTTCCAAATTTTTTTTTTGTATATCGAAAATAATTCAAATTTTATTTTGAATTCTACCTAAAGTTCAAATGCTCACTTATATACTTGAAATAAATAATTTTAACTTTGTAATTTAGTTTATATAATTCCTATAAGTATTAGACAATGTTACAGTATTTATAATAATTTGAAAATATTCAATATTCTTCGAATATTTCATTGCGGTATGGGAAGTTCCAGCAATTTGCCTTAAGGTACGATGCCAAACACAACTAGTTTGTTATCTAATCAAACTTATTGGAGGGCGCCGTATTAATATTTTTATTGTTGTATCTTGTTTAAAATGAAAATTATTAAATTGATAAGCTTTTTTGGAGAAATATTGAAGCTTTGTTCATTTTTTGTAACTTTGTTAAGGTGAATCTTACATATAAAACGCTTTAAAAATTGTTCGATGGTTTCTTATTTTATTTTTGGATTCGGAATAAAACTATGGCGAATTAACATAATATATTGATATTTGATCATATTTTAGGAAGGCATGAATGTTTTTTGCAGATGTATGCAAGTGTTTTTGCGATTACAATTTTTGTCGACGCTTTTGGGACGGATCATCCGATTGAATGATTCAATTGCGGGGAAGATGTGCTGATTAGTTTTTGGTAAAGACAGGTTGATCGATTTCGGAAGAGGGTGTAAAATGATAAAAAAATAGCTATTCATTTTTTTAGAGAGCTCCGTTCTCTATCCGATTGAAAAATTCAAAACACATTTTACTTCTGCGACGGAATAAAGAATTGACTAAATTTTCTATGGCAGGGTCAGCGTTTTCAGTGATCCAAAAAGTGCCATTTGGTGGTCAAAAATGATGTATGCACATTTGTTCATCAAATTATCAGATTTTTTAAATAAAAAATTAAATAATCAGTCAAAATTTGTTTTCATTTTTAACTTCTAATGGGGTAAGTTATAGTAAAAGCAAAAAGTCAAAATTTTTTTTTGCATATTTTAATTTTACGTTTCAGAGGTTTCTGAATATTTACGCCTTACAGAAAATGGATAAATTATTGAAGGAAACGTGAGTTTAGTTCATCAAACTTTACTCTCAACCGATATTCTAAAATCATTTTGAAATTACCAAGTCATTCAGATAAAATAACTCTGACTGCACTGGATATGTCAATTTGAAACGCACAAGTATCTTGCATCCAACAATTTGCTTCAGAATGATAAAACGCGAGCGCAAACGCATACAACGACGTATCACGCGCATATGTGACCCATATCTAGATAACTAGTCTGCATCTGCCATAAGACGGACAATAACGCACTTTGGATTACTTGATTATTAGGTATAATTGTTGTAACAATTATTCGATATATTTATTTTATATAAAAAATGATTGCGAGAATAAAAATATGGAAGATATGGAACGGAAAAAAAATACGATTGGGCGTCAGTGACCTGATAATGTTATGCGTTCATGATAAATGATTGGGATATTTGAATGCAAAAGATGCATATGCAGATATATAAATATGAGTCATAATAGAACTGTTAGCAATTAATTATAGATAAAATTAATTGATTAGTTAAGTCATTACATTTAACATAAAATAGTTAATAATACAAACATATTCTGTAAACAATTTGCTAACATTTTTCGGTTCTAGTTTTAGTATAGACCTCAAAAAATAAAGCTTTCGAAAAGCGAATTCTTTTAGATAATTGAAGCAATCATTAAACGACCGTACATGAACGTAACCATTAAAAAAATTCTTCCTTCCTGTGAAAGCTTGCTCAAAATTATATGTGTAGTTAAACAAAATCTCTACAATGTACTATTTTTGAATTTTATTTAATTGAATGTGTTCAAATTTCGCTTTCTGCACAAAAACACAAAAAAATATTTTTGTCAGGAATATTTTTAAAGTAATATTCGATGATATCTTTATAAATGTTTTTTTGAAAAGTTGCAAAGAAATTCGTCGACTAGAAATGACTTTGACTGTGTGTCAAAATTAATATTGAATTATTTTTTTGCATATTTGTAATTAAATATACCTTAATCTTTAAGATAAGATTTCAAATATTAGTGGTTTAAACAGGAAATAACTTGCAGATCATAAGGTTAGCATGAAATCTTCACTTTCATTTTCCAATTTTTAATTTCTCTTCACACACTTTCCACGTACTGCGCGAGCATTGTATTTATAAGTAATGCGTTAATAATGTTTAAATGTTGATGTAAGTCAATTGCAATGGGAATCTTGGTAATATAAAATTAATTATTTAATCCATATTTGGCATTTGTCGAGTAAATGCGTAAGAAAGAGCTATTAAAGTGCTCAGTATTAAAAATTAAGTAAAATTAAGTAAAATTAGTAAAATTGTTATATTAGTAATTAGTAAAACGGTATTAGAAGTTAGCAAAAACTGTCGTTGATGTTACAAAAATTATTTAAATAAAATGAGTTAAATGACACCAAAGTACATAATTGCTGGTTAATATTTATTAATTTATTAATGAGGATATGAAATACGTTAATCTATTAGATTATGTGCAATATTTCTAGATTTTAATAATTATGTGATCAAATATGTTTTTTCATAAAGGATTTTTCATTCACATATTGCTGGTTTCGGCTACAAAATATTTTGTTCTCTAAAATAATTATCTTGTACGGCAACTACATTTTAAAACTAAAATTGTTAGTATGTTCATTCATTTATTGCTTTATGTAATTTTCCTGTTGTAAATCAATAATTAATAATCATGAAATAATCAACTATCGGAAGAATTATTTGTTTGTTAAATATTTGAATTTGACGATACTGTTTCATAGTAAGGCTACGAACAAACTCGTTTACGTGCATCTTGCCGTGACGCTAACAATTAAAAATTCAATTCATTCATTATAATTAATTCCACTGACGTAAAATTTATATTTGTGGTCGATCGTTAACGGCTTTCAAATATGCACAATATGTACATGTTTAACATTGAAAATGACTAATTAAGATTTTCGTACGTGACTGATGGCCATTTAATAAAATTTTAACAAACTCGGTCATACTAATAATAAGACACTATCGTAGGTCATGTAGGAATCGCTTTATAATTTAAAAAAATGATTACATATTATAGTTGAATATTGTTTTTATTCTTTTATATTTATATATATATATATATATACATATATATATATATATATATATATATAACTTTTATTTATTAATGTGAATTTCATTATAAATTGGGAGCAAATTGTATATGGCATATTTATAACTATCATTTACATGTGAAAATGAGTACATAGTGAAATAAATATAAATTTGATAATTGATCACAGCATATACTTGACCATATCTTAATATAAAGAATGATGAGAATTACATAGTCAATGGAAATTAATTAGCATAAAAATACAACATTTTATGTAAATTCTACTGATTGACTGAAGCTGAGACTTTATAGAAACTTTACAGATATATTACAGAGAGAAATATTGTAGTGTACAAAAATGTTTCTAAACTTTGTTGCTATTTATCTATATATTTCTTATTTAATTCGCAACGATTGAATTGCCAAATTTTAATTTTTTTTTACTAAATATCATATCTTGTATCAAATTTTCCTAATTTTATTATACTAATTTTATTAGTTAATTTATAATAATATTACTTATCCTTTCACTTCTCATTTTAGGAAGAATTGGTTAGCATGAAGTCTATACCAAATTCACTTGCGGTGTTCTGCTTAGCTACGTATGGTGAAGGAGATCCAACAGATAACGCCATGGAGTTCTTCGAATGGATCCAAAACGGTGACGCCGATCTCACGGGTCTTAATTATGCCGTAAGTAGTTTTTGATAAAAAAAGAATTGCCAATTCAATTATGACACTATCAGTTTATATATTTAGTTTTCTACATATTACTAGTACAATGATATTCGAGTCAAAACGATTTTATGTAAAATATCTGAAAAATATTTAATCTGTGTTTAAAGCAATTAGTTACTGCTATATGAAAAGCGATACGTACAAACGTTTCATTGGAATGTATCGAGATAATTTAATAATTGTGCAGGTAGTTGCAATCCTGCGAATTACGAAAATAATTCTAGTGTGTGTGCTTAATAAAAATGTATAACTTGAGATAAACAGCTTTTCTAACGTGAATGTTGTTCACTCAATATTGCCAAAAAAATAAAAATAAAATATTATACTTATAACACTTATTCTTCAATTTTTTGGGTCAGAGCAGGCCATGATTCTATGGTAGAAACGTAGATTAGCAACCATTGGTTTTAGATTCGATCACCTTAGTCAGCTTGATATCAAGCAGTAGTGACATTAGATTTTCACTTGAGATCTTAGTTTCAAATATGGTATCAAATGAAAATAGCCTTGCGGGTCATTACTGCAATATATAATTACATCGCTAATAGAAATGTATTTAATATAAAAATCTCATCAAAAATAGAAGGCCTATCACTGGGTTGCCTTTTAGAAACAATAGGTTAATGAATGTACATAGCAACAACATGTAGAACATATAGTTCTGGTTGCTATTCGAATATTAAAAAAAAAAAATATTCTGACGCTAAATTATGTTGAGCGAAAAAAATTTTAATATTTTATTTATTATTATACCTTCGATCGCTCTTTATTATAACTAGCTATTTTATCATTTATCGTAATGATCAAATTGCTCACTTAGTTTAGCGGCATATGTTAGATAGTTGAGATGTTCTGTTTTATATTCATGGTCAAGCAAGGTCTTAATAATCACAGATCATGTCCATATTGCTGGGAAGCGCGATAAATCGTGTGCCGTTAGTGTCTCTACTTTGACTTAAAAGTAGCGAATTATTTACCTAATTAGAATTAGCCCCTTGTCTCAATTCCAAAAGTAGCATTAGAAAACATCGCATTAAATAACCGGGTTTTATAGTTTGAGGAAGTTGTCCTCTAATCAAGTACTAGATTTACATGTACTTTAACCCAATTGACCTTTACGAATATACTCATATTATTGTCATGACTTAGAGAACAGCTTTCCATAGCCAGCCATTGCGGCTTTCAGGCACGCACGTGCGCAAAACTAATAACATTTATTTATTCTTGTACGATCAAATACAATCCATAGAAATTTTTGCTGGCGAATCATGATGAGACTGAATTGCAAATTTGATCGAGTCGCATTAGCTTCCGTATTTGTTATGCAATGTTATCCCGATTATATATTTGTCACTTACAATTATTGTCATTACACTGACAAGCAATAATTTTGCAGATTGTGATGGGATGCACTTTTTTAGATATTTCCTTTATTTTAAATTTGATAAATATTTACGTCATAATTGATACATTTATAATAAACTCCTAAAATATTCCAAATATTTATTTTAACTTAAAAATCATATTCGCTCTCTCAAGCCATTCTGAGTTGCCAAAAACTAAAGAACAAAAATTAAAAAACAGTATGAAAGTAACATTCATCAACATCACCTGGAAAGATGCTGCTGAACAATAACAAAATTTAATAATTACTCGTTTAGCAAATCCGTGCGTATCTGGAAAGCCGTTTAAGCGAAATTAAGAAATAATGAAAGTTTTTTCTTCAAATGCTTTCACAAAAAATCCTAAACGAATTATGAATTTTCAAAAAGCATTCAAAACATTACTTTGAGTTGTTTGGTTCTGGTTAGTTTACGGTAAAGACGGGCCTATTTGCTCGTAATTAAATATATATGTTTTAAAAATTATATTCAATATGTTTCAATATCGTTAGTAGTCAAAACTATCATCATGCGCATACCCGAAAACGTGGGCAGAGTACTAAGTTAGTTTGACTACTTTAATGTTGAAAAATGTATATGTCTAAATTCATAGAAAAAAACTTGTACTTGGATGCATATTTGTTAATAACAAGTATATTTTCGTCAGTACAGATCTTGCCAATTTTTATTTTTAACATATTACTATAGAAAAATTTAAGGTAAGGTTGACAAAATAGGGTACGACCTCCTATGGAAATAATACTAAATTATTTAATGCAATTTTTAGTTATTTTATAAACAGTTACTGATTTTTTTTTATTAAAATAGGTACTTTCTGTACGATGAAGTCTTACGGGCTTAGTGGTACCTACTATTAAAAAGTATATATAATTCAGTTTGAGATTAACTTTTCTTTAGTTATTAGTTACCAGGTCGAATAACATTGTTAAAACAACATCTAAATGACATAATTTTAAAAAGTAACGAATGTAGATAGATTAAGTCACTACATGTCCAGAGTAAAGATGGAACTGTTCTTGAAGCCTTCATTGAATAAAATTCTATTTTTTTCTATTATTTCTTAATATTTATGAAAAAATCCATGAAACGCTTTTTATTAAATCGAAACACTAAATTTTTTTTAGGCTTAAAATATACTTTGAACCTTTGAGAATACGAAGAAAAATATTTCATACCTGAAATTTTCTTTTTGTACATGTAATTATGAGCTTTTTCCGTGCGCGTCGGACTGCTCGAAAGCGACACCGCTCAAAAACCTAATAAAGCATGACAACATGTATCTTCTTAAATATATTAACATATGTTATTATAAAGCATTTGTATAGTGTAAATAAACTGTAAAAGCATTTTTAACCAATAGATAATAATCAGTGCAAGGTCAGCATATATAATGATTGATTATATTGCGGCTAATCAATATTTTATAAATGATAATAGTTTTAGAGATTAATATTGGCGTCTAAACATGTAATTGTTGTCTTGAAGTCGATTATAAACGGCTTAAGCATTCCGAATTGTCTTTGACGGATGCCAAAAGTAGGACGCTCTAATATAAAATCAAGGGAAGATAATAAGAAAGAAATTAAAATATAAAAATGCTTCTGTTTGTTGCTGGAATAACAGATTAATAGTATAAAATTAAACTGAGATATTTTTCATTCTTCCTTATCTATAATTTATTTCAGAACATTAATCACGTTTTCCTCGAAACACGAGTTTTCAAAGCGGCACGCAAAATAACTACAACAATTTAAAGTTTTTTCATTCAATTTTCCAAGGAATTTTTCACAGTTACGACATAAGCTGCATGGTCTTCGAAGTTTGAAATTGAAACTAGTGACATAACTTAAACAAATTCTACTATAGAATTACCTATACGTCTGTCAAATAAGTAATATAAATAAAATTTAGATAAGAAAAGGTTTAAGAATCATATTATTAAAAATATTAATAGAAACTTCACAAAAAACTTTTAATTATTTTTGTTTTACAAAATCGGACAGCCTTCGAATTGTAAACGTTTGCTTTCTCAACTATATAGTTCTATTTAACGGTACCAGATAACGTAATTTATAATTATCAGACAAAATATAGCCGGGGTTCTACTTAATTAACCTTACCCTAATTCACAATACTAATTAACATTATTTTTCCACATATATATTTTATAAAAATTACACATTGTATATGCATTTCTCTGACAATGATTGTTAACGATAGCAGTTTTTTATGAATATATTTTTATTATTATTTTGTTTAACATAATCAGACTTTGAGGTTCTATAAAATCAACTAACAGAATGTTTGGAGAAAGAAATTCTTAGGCGAGATTTCTGCGTTAATATATATTCTTTAAGTTATTATATCAATTGCTCATTTTTTCTGATCTCTATTCGGTGGTTGTTTATTCAATTTCTTGTGTAATTGGATTGCGATGGTTTACTATTAACTTCCTGTAGGGTAAGTTATAGTAATCGCAAAAAAATCGAAAATGAAAATTTTTGCATATCTTCACGTTTTAAAGGTTTCTGAACATTTTGGCATACCTTAGAAAAAATGGATGTACGTGTGTGTGTATGTATGTTTGGATACAATTTTTTGTCCACGATTTCGGACGCACGAATCAACTGATTTGAATGATTCAATAATCATTCGATTCCCTTTGATGAGAAGACGTGCTGATTAGCTTTTGGCAAAGACAGGTCTAGCCGTTTCAAAGATACGGGGCAAAAACGCTAATTCAGTTTTTGAAGGAACGGAGCACCCAATTCGAATGATTCAAAAAACATTTTATTTGTGTTGACGAAATGATGAATTGGTTGATACAGAAGGAAATGTAAAAAATGTAAGGCGGTCTAAAATGATTATTAGACATATACACATCAAATTATCAGATATTTTGTAGATATTTTAATAATAAGAATAAATTTTGTTACAATTTTTTTAAGTTCCGTACCAAGATTTTTATTTTTTAAAGTTCACTTATACGGTTCAAGCGGTTAATTGTGAATTATTATTTTTAAGAGGCAAATTGCTGATGTGGTGACTGTTGGGTATCAGCTTGAATTAAGGAAGCAAAAAAATAATACAAAGTTCTTCAAATCATTGCCTTAGCCTCAACAAAATTAATCAATGTACAAAAACTATAATTAAAAATGATATTTATTTTATATATTGCTGAGATCTATTATATGCAATATCTTAAATATAATAGACTTCATATTAAAATTAGTTGGTAATAAGTTTAGTACCACATCTAACATTAATATAAAACTTTTATAAATTTACTTTTATTCTAACATATTATTGTAATTAATATAAAGTTTTATATTTATGTTAGATTTGATACTAAACTTATTACTAATTTTAATATGGGATCTGTTATACTTAAAATATTGCATATTAAATAATAGTTCTCAACAATACTTATTTTCTTTATGGTCACCTTGGAACGTATCCCCATGATTCCATATAAAATGCCATCCTGTATTTGCGGATTGTTTATTAACGGAATTTTTACGGAACGCATCCCCCGCGATAAAGGGGTTTTTACTGTATTTCATATTTATATATCTGTTTTGATGATATCATCACTGTATATTTTATGAACGAATAAATATATAGTAATTATAATTATCTGTTTGAAAACTTTGAAAACATTTCTTATTAATCATTGATCATAATTTATATATTAGTAATTTATTTGCTTGCATATTTAATTGTCTTAAGGCACGATGCCATGCACCACTAGCTTTATTAATCATGGCACTTTGTGCTCATTCTTTGATGACGTGCTTTAACTTGTTCAACTTTTAAGGTGAATTGTTTCATTGCTAAGATACTGTGCGACTTCTACTATAGCCTTAATATTTTTGTTTGTGTTGAAACATGAAAATATCGCACCAAAAAGAAAAGATACGTATTTAATTGTGAGGTAAAAATATTTTTCCATTTTTGTCAAGAATTTCAGAACTCAGTATTTCCACAGTTTGAGATACTCTGACATATTACGTAACTGATCATGTTTTGAATGTCATGCTTTCAGCACATTAGTTGGTTGATTCGGAGCTTAATGTAGGCTGTGAATATTACAACAAAGTAAATAGTATTTACTATAATATCTAAACATTTTTCACGTTAATTAAAATTGTTTTAAACTTAAGATGAAATAATTTCATATTGTTATGTGAAGACACTAACTCTGTCAATACTCGCGTGTTATAGGTTATGTGTCAAAATATTTTAGTTTTTCTTTAGTGCTTTTGGTTTATTTAATTTAATGTGCTATCTTATCTACTACTAGATATTAATGTTTTCCATAATTAGAAAAACTTTATATATATGTCCTGTACAAGACATTTTGAAAAAAAATATTTTTCTGGCTCGAAAATATGTAGAGGTTATTATTTGGTATATCCGTACATTATTATAAGATTTTTTTATTTAATTGCTTCAATAAATTGTTTAGGTTTTTGGACTTGGAAATAAAACCTACGAACATTACAATGAAGTTGCAATTTATGTTGATAAACGATTGGAAGAGTTGGGGGCAACGAGAGTACATGAGCTTGGACTTGGAGATGATGATGCAAAGTAAGACTGATCTTCAAATATCCTCTAATTTCATTAATTTAATTCTAAATTTGTGACTGATTTGACAATTTTTATTTTTTCAAAATGCCGATGTGTTTAATATATTAATAATAGGAGAAATCTATTCACGTTCAGTTTGCTTATATTATATATTTTGCATTGTTTTTATTTTTGCTGAATGTTAATTATAATTGAGCATGTTTCAATGTTGTTCAAAATTAGTATATTTTTTTTACAAGTTTGATTAATATTTCTGGGACTATTCTAATACATTTAAAATGTTCCATTTATTGATTGCAGTATTGAAGATGATTTCATTACCTGGAAGGATAAATTTTGGCCAGCAGTTTGTGATTTCTTCGGAATTGAGAGCACTGGAGAAGATATTCTAACTCGTCAATACAGACTGTTTGAACATAAAGATGAACCAGTTCCACCAGAAAGATTGTTTACAGGAGAAATTGCACGTTTACATTCTTTACAGAACCAAAGACCGTAAGTAAAATGATTTAAAATGAAAACTTTGAAACAAATTTGAGGTGTGTTTTAACATTTTATGTCTGAATGAAGTACATGAAAATTTATTGATCTTATAGACCATTTGATGCTAAAAATCCTTATCTTGCACCAATGATCCTTAAACGAGAATTACACAAAGCGGGTGATAGAAGTTGCATGCATATTGAGTTTGATATTAGTGGATCGAAAATGCGATATGATGCTGGTGATCATTTAGCTATGTATCCGGTGAATGATGAAGATTTAGTATCCAGGTTGAGTCAGATAACGGGCAGTGATTTAGATACTGTAAGTGATATTGTTGTATTTTATCTACATTTTAGCAGACATACAATACTTAAAAATTATTAAAATAAAAATAAAATTTCAAAGTTATTTTGTTTTTTAGGTATTTTCTTTAATTAACACGGACACTGATAGCAGCAAGAAGCATCCCTTCCCTTGCCCAACAACTTATCGTACTGCACTGACACATTATTTAGAAATTACTGCAATTCCGAGAACTCATGTCTTAAAAGAACTTGCTGAATACTGCTCTGATGAAAAAGTGAGCATTAAATATTGTTTAATGATTATGAATTCTTTTTATATTTAAGTCTAATACAAATAATATTTAATTTGGTATCAATAAAATTCTAATAACGTGATCTTTTTATGATAATTTTAGGAAAAAGATCAATTAAAATTAATGAGCTCAACTGCTCCAGAAGGAAAACAATTGTATCAAGATTGGGTTGTTGACCAGAACCGTAATATTGTGCATATTTTAGAAGATCTGCCATCATGTCGTCCTCCAATTGATCATCTGTGTGAATTGTTACCTCGCTTACAACCACGTTATTACTCAATTTCAAGTAGTGCTAAGGTAATTCTTCAACATTTACTTGATAATGTGAATAATAATATTAATTGTAATTTTTTGTCATAATTATAACTTGATAAACATAATATCTATTTCTTTAGCTGTTTCCTACCACAGTTCATATCACTGCTGTTCTAGTGAAGTATAAAACTCCAACTGGTAGAATCAACAAAGGTGTTGCAACATCTTGGCTGGCCAAGTTCAACCCCAGTCCTGAGAAACCTCAAGTTGTGCCTATATTTATTAGAAAAAGTCAATTCAGGTAAATTATTTATTGCATTATATCACTTTTATCATGCTTAATTGAATCAAATTCTTCCAGACTGCCAACCAGGTCTCAGACTCCAATTATTATGGTTGGTCCTGGTACAGGTTTGGCTCCTTTCAGAGGATTTATACAAGAAAGAGATTTGGCCAGGCAACAAGATAAAACTGTTGGAGATACTATCTTATACTTTGGTTGTCGCAAGAAGTCTGAAGATTACTTATATGAAGAGGTAAAATTTATCATGATTGTCCATTATTTAAAGCAATTAATGTTAATTCAGAACATTATATAAATAAATATGGATTTATTGCAAACATTTCATATAATGCAATAATTTTATATATTTGTTATAGGAACTTCAAGAATATATTAATAAGGGCACTCTTAAAATTCATGTTGCATTCTCAAGGGATAAAGCTGAAAAGGAATATGTCACTCATTTACTAGAGAGAAATGGTGATGAGTTATGGAATGTCATTGGTGAAAATAATGGCCACTTATATATTTGCGGGTATAAATGTGAATTATATATTTTTTTAAATTTAAAACCGTACCAATTTAACTATATAGATTAAAAGGGATTAGATAATGACCATAATTTTATTGTGATTTAGCCATTAAAGTTCTGTTATATTTTTCAGAGATGCCCGGACTATGGCAAGTGATGTTCGCAACATAGTTTTGAAAGTGATTATGTCCAAAGGCAACATGAATGAACAACAAGCTCAAGCTTACATCAAGAAAATGGAAGCACAGAAAAGATATAGCTCTGATGTATGGAGTTAACGCTTTAATAATGTAATATAACCAACATATGGTAAAATATGTATGATTTATATGCAAAAATGCTACTTGCTAATGCATAATAGCAAATATTTTTATAAAATCAAATTTTCATGTAAGCAAGACTATATTTATAATTGCGTGTGATATGTACATATACATATATGTATACTTGACAAGTTATATGTTGCACTAGAAAGATCAAATTTGAGATTAAGTAACAGTTATCATGTTTTACATTTATTCATTAGTAAGTTTTTATGATTTATATAATCACATAAAAAATATGTTTTTGTGGTTATATATATTTTATTTACTTACTGTAATACACTTCAAATATAAATTATTTTATTTATTAAATCATTACCTGGGGGTGCAATAATAGGTTTATTAACATTTTTTTAAATGTGGATAACTTTATAAGTAACTGACAATTGGCACACTGTTACAATTGTGTAGTAAAATGTACTTGCATTTTAAATATTTTAAAGAAATTTTATATTATTTATACAAATAAAGTTTTATAGTTGACATTCCTGTTTAAATTTTCAGTTGCAATGCGATACTTGCATTGTACAACTTTCTCAAGAATGCATTGAAAAGAATTGTAAAATAAATTGTATTGTACATATTAGATTGTTATAGTGTTATAATGAGTTTTAAAATGTATCACTTTTGTAAGGTTTACATTGGTTTTATATAAATGTTTATAAGCGTAACTAGTTGATTTTTTATTTAAATTTGAGTTCTAGACGAATATTGTATCTTTAATTCATAACTTAGTGTTACAACTGATTTTTAGTGGTTAATTAGTGATAAAAAAAATTGTTTTACAGTGTGTGCTTTCCACAAATTATTTCCTTATGAGCTGCTCTGCTCAGCATTTAAAAAATTAATGTGATTTATTCCTCATACAATATTGTACATGTTTTTAAAAACCCCACACTTAATGGTAATTGTATGAGAAAAAGAATATTTAATACTCAGTAAGTACCAATTCAATTCTATATATGTAATTATTCACAGGTGGGAACAAAATCTTCATCAAAAATTTATTTTTAAATATATTCGGTAAGCAATGTATGATAATGGTTGCTTAAAACATTCAATTCAATCCAAAATATTCCATTTTTTTTATTTAATTATTTTCTTCAACATTTTAAATTAATAATTTACCACTCCATCAAATTTATAAGGGAGGTTATAAATAAAACAAAGCAATAGATTTTTCTATAAAGTTTATCAGAGTAAACATAACATTTCATAAACAGATGTGAAAATATTTTATTGAACACAAGTCATAATTATGTTGATTAGGATTAAAAATTTAATATACATTTACAGCTTAAATTAGTCAGTGTGAAAATATTTGCTAATTTATAAAGTAAATGAAACATTTTATACACACTTGTTATAAGATTAACTTACTAAAAAACATTATATTTAGAAAAACCGACATGATGGCAAATGCGATAACAAAAATACAAATGTTAAAAAATACGCAATTCATTATTTTCAAATTAGTTACCTACTCTATCTTAAATATAAAAATATGTGCTGCAATAACAAGCCCTATGATACAAGATTCAAAATCATGATCATGATACATTATAAGATCTTCATATATATATAATGATACATTATCTATACACAAGACAATTTTGAATATCTCCAAACAAGATGACTGAACATTTGCAGCTGTTACTTTTGTTAACTTAGGCAGTATCATGAATGCCTAAACGGAAGATGTCATGTTGCAAGAAGAATGATGTACCCAAAGGTTTCAGAACAAATATTTGTGAATAGGCATGTGGAGGATCTTCATCACACTGCAAAAGTAATTAGATAATTCTTTAATAACTACTATTATTTTTAGTATCAGTTATGATTTTGATTAGCCACATAACAGCAGATATATTTAATTTAATATTAGCATAAGTATTCAAAAGATTTTATAACCTATGTGAATGACTTATGATTCCTGCAGACAGTTAACATGAGAATGTTAAATTGGGTGAAATGCCTTGTGAAACAAAACATGCAAGTATTAAAAACATTTACAAATTGCACCTTGACAATACGTTGTATTATATAATTAAACTAAAGCTTAATATTGAGCAATTGAGTTAGTCTTGTCAGAACTATGCAAAGCCAAGCAAATTTTACATAAATTGGTTATAAAAAGTCAATGACCATCAGACTCTTTGATCTCTTGTTTCTCAATAGCAGTTAGTGAGTGACAACAGCAAAATTAAATAAACTATTTTGCAACTTTGATAAAGGTGGTATAGGTCTGACAATCAAAAACAAGTCTAATAGATTAAATGTGCCTGCAAACAAAGAAGCATGCAGTGCCTAATACACGCCACTTGATTATAGGGAATAACCTTTACAGGCACACTTCTCAGAAGGTGATTCTATAACAGATCTATACTGAATCATGAAGTGCAAGTCTGAACATGTCGTGCTGAACAAAGAAGCTAACACCGATTGGCTTCAAGACGAATGTCTGTATGTAGTCGTGGGGTGGATCTTCATCTGTCTGCAGATTCCAATTAAAACAATGATTTAAGTCATTGATATCTTTAATACGCCTTTGTAGAAATTCAAACAGTAAATGGATTTACTAATAACAAAAGTGCACAAATGATAGAATGAAAAATTTTACCTGTAATCTTCCAAGAACATTTATTAAAACACCACCATCAAACATTGGTTGAGAATCTATTGCCGTTATAGCTCTGTTTATTTTTTGAAAGGTAAGACTCTGTGAAAACAATAATACACTTTAAAGTTCGGCAAATTATATTTTTTAATGATTTATGAAATATTTTATTCATACGTTCAATTTTTCCATAATTTTTAAGGACCCTTGCAATTGCATTCCTTCAAACGTCATGAAGGAACTTTCAGGCTGCAAAATATCAACACCATCATTATATATCACGTAGAAAAGTAGCATATAATTTGCACGATTGTATACTAATATTTTTAAGTATATAGTACACTTTTATTTAATGGAAAACTTACATTATACATATTTGCTAAATTTTGTCTCTGGGCCGGGTCGTCAAATAATGCATAATATTGTTGAACGAATCCTTTTCCTATAGCCTCATATGCCGGATTTAACGTCATTTTGTTAGGATATGTTCTACCAATAATATATAAAGCACCTCAGGTTAATAATATAGTCAAAAACCTCTCATTTCACAATTATTTATTAAATCACAAATTATTTCTAGTTCTCGAGCTGTCACCGGAAATATCTCGAAAGCTTCGATTACAGACACTTGAGCGTGAAGTGCGATGTGGTTGCAACTTTCAAAAATTATTTTCAGATATTTTGTTCATGACATATTTTGTGCTAATATATTGTTATTAATATCTATGATTTTCATAAAGAAAAGCACATTTAATTTAAATTGTATATATAAAACACAAATATAGAAAGTTATTGTTGTCAGAGATATAATATATTTTATTTTACCCTATATATATTTATATCATTAAACATTTTCGGAAACAATGGGATATTTAAGTTATTCGATATACAAAAATTTGTCTTTTTATTAATATAAATAAATAAATTATCAAACGATATCAATGTCCAATATATCGATATGTTCATTATTATTCTTCAGCTCAATCGCAATGTTGCAGCTGTCCGTAGCTTATGCCTTGCTTCAGTAACTGTCAGACAGTCAGTGTTCGAGATGTGTTTTCCGAACGTGTAGCAAATTTCTGTTTGAACACATGTGAAATGATTTTAATTATTTAGACGTACTAAGAGTTTTAAAGTTTTTATTTCTTAAACAATTTTAAGGTATGACTGCAATTTGAATATTCATCGTATTCGTTTGCTCATATTTGTATCGTTTATATGCACAACTATCCTTTAACCTTACTTTTAGTTTCAACTTGTATTATGTATTTTATATTGTTCCAGCTATTTATTTTAAATATGGGCCAAACAAATAGGGAAAAAGAAGAACAAGCGCTGTTAACTCATTCAAAGCCGAATCAAATTTTATCTGCAAGTGAGTACAAAAAAAAGATATCAACATCATAAATAAGTTTTTTTTGTCCTTTCATTACAATGTTATAACTTTTATTTAGACTATTCCTATAATTTATTCATGTTGGATTAGTAGATATATATATATATATATATATATATATATATATATATATAACTGAATAGATTTGGATTTGATGTTGATATAATATATTTTATTTAGGCCTAAAAGTAAATAGTATGAGTTTTTAGAAATTTATTTAAAATCTATACGTTTCGGCTAGCATCTTAGACTTCATTCAGTGGCAATCAATTTAACTATAAAAATTAAAACTAAATAATTGATATGTTAGGAATTTCATAGAAAAACAATAATAATAATTTAAAAAAAACTTTCAGTTATTGTATCCTAATATAACAGATGAAAACATTATTAATCCATTAATACATAGTTTCGACAACTGAAATTTCTTTTAAGAATTTATTTTACATCCATACTTTTTGGTTAAAATCCTAGCCTTTATTCAGTGGAAACTAAAAACAATTAAATTGGAAGAAATTATAAAGAATGAAAAGCACTTACAATTTGTTAGTCATAGTGTTAAAACCAGAAAATTCAATAATCAATGGTATCAGGATATGGTAATGTACTACACTATGTAATATAAACAATAAACTTGTAATTACACAGTATCTCACAAAATACTAACTTTGAAAATCACAAAAGATATTGTGCAATATATGTGTTGTTCGTAAACTAGTTGAAGACATAATGGAGAAATGATTTTTTTTCAATATTTCTAGCAAGATTATAGCCAGAATCCTAGAAGGCTAGGATTATAGCCAGAACGTATGAATATAAAATAGATTCTTAAAAGAAATTTATTGATGCTATGGTTGATTCTTAGACTTTGTTAATACATATGTCAACATCAAATTCCGAATCACACAACATACATTTAATTACATAACATAATGTATATTTTATATAGATGTATATATATATATATATATATATTAAATATAAATATAAAATAAACGTTAAAAATAATTAATTAAATTTCATTTTCTTTGTCATAATAGTGTTTGTAGAATTAATTTGTAGTTCAAATATAAAAAGAAATTTTATATATATACGAGGTCTGTTCAAAAAGTACCCGGAATTTTCGTTTTTTCAAAAAAATATTTATTTATTCGTCTACATTAATGTGGTCCCCTTCAAAGTAGTCCCCCCCAGATATAATACACTTATGCCAGCGTTTTTTCCAATTTTCGAAGCACCCTTGATATTCACTTTTTGATATGTCCTTGAGCACTCTCAGCGATTTTCTTCAATCGAGGAAAACCGCCGTCCTTTCATGGGTCTCTTCAACTTTGGGAATAGGAAAAAGTCACACGGAGCCATATCTGGTGAATTTTTGCACTTTGCAACACTTTATTTCATTTTTTACGCAAAATTTAATACAAATTCTTTGACTTTTCAATTCTTCCATTGTAAAAATCGCCGAGCTCAGAAAAACACGTCGAACCTTAGCGACTACCACAGACAAAGTAAACAGTGAATATAGCTGAAAATTTCATCATACTTTAGGGGCATGTATACCAACACAATAAAAAAAAAATTTTGACAATCAGACACTCCAGACCCGCGAAATTTAATTATTAGTAATTCCGGGTACTTTTTGAACACACCTCGTACATCCAAATATTATTTTTATCAGAAATTCAATATTTTATATTACGATGTAATACATACAATTATAACTAAATTTCTCATATTTTCTGCCCCTCAAATGCATTCCTATGTGTTATATTGTGCATGTATGCCCTTGTAAGAATGTTGCGCAATAATACTAATTACAAAAATGATTAGATCTAAAAAAAAGATTAAATGAATTGATGAATTAATTTATTGATATTTGTTTTAAAATGAATAAAAATCCAATTTTATTTTGTTCTTTTAATACTAAATAGTTTTCGAAAGTGTCTGAACATTTTGGCATACCTTAGAATGAATTGATGTATGTATGTGCGTGCGGATACAATTTTTCCTTAATATTTTGGCAATATGTTACTTAAGGGGCACAACTAGTGTAACCGCCTAAAAAATAGGTGATTTTTGGGAATTTATATTAAAAAAATACTTCATCAATCATTTCAATTTTAAGAATATATTCACACATGTTTTAAGAATACATAGTAAAATTTTTGAAGAAAAAAAATAAATAATTTTTAAGTTATCGTTGATCTCCAACGGCGCGAAAAAAAAGGCCCTTCACTGCTGCAGTGATTTCGGACTTTCGTGGATGAAATAAAAAAAAAATCTCGTTAAACTAGAATATATTGTCTGTAAAATGAACTACGATGAAAAAAAATCAAAAATTGACAAAATGGCGGCGTTTCAAAAATAAAAGTCGAATTTTACCCAAAATATTGGTCGTTTTTGGACTGCCAAAATTCGATTTTTGATCCGATTAAAAAATCGATAGTTCATTTTACGGAGAACTATATAGAACATGTAAAAAAAATTGATAGTGATTGGATCATTTGTTTTTGAGTCATCGCTGCAGCAAATTCGAAAAATGCTGTTTCGAGAAAAACGCGTTTGAAGATAAAATAATCGTTATACCATATACTATGTATAGTATGTATATACTCTTTTAAATGGATGTAACTCAAAAACTATTTGAGATATCGATTTGAAATTTTAATATGTTATTTTTAAAGGCGTAATCTACCGAAATATGAAAAAAAAACAAAAATCGATTTTTTTCAAATTTCACGCTAGTTGTGCCCCTTGGTATATTGATCTTGCCCCGCGAGTGCTCCAACTATCATCTTACTAGTGACTTAAACGGAATCGGAATCTTTGTATCGTGGCTATTATCAGACCTAAACATCACTCTATCGAGTGAGTTCATGATGGAATTTGATCTGCCTCCGCCACCGTCTTTACTTCTGTATTGTTTGTTGTTTTTTTTTTAATTGTAAGCTAATAATCCACAATTTATGAGCCGTACCGGAACAAATTTCCGTTGCCCAATTCTTTCAGTTTTAGGCTGCAAAACTTTAGGATGCAGTATTTTGCCTACAAAATTGCATAAAAATTAATTAGTTTCAACAAAAAATTATTCTGTTTAAATAATTCAAATCGGACGCTCCGTTATCTCAGAAACTGAGTTGTCATTTTTGGGACTATTTGCCCCGTATCTTCGAAACGGCCTTCTCCAAAAACTAATCAGCACGTCTCCTGATCAATACGAATCGAACGTTTCTCGAATTGTTCAAATCGATTGTCCGTGTTTCCGAAATCGTCTACGAACATTTGTATCCGATCACACGGACATACATACATCTATTTATTCTTAGGTATTCCAAAATGTTCAGAAACCTTTAAAACGTGAATATATGTAAAAAAATTTGTTTCCGATTACTATAACTTACCCTGCGGAGATTTAATGAATTTTCTAGGATATGTTTTGCTTCATTAAGAATATTTAACTACAAAATACGATTATTTGCGATATATGAAATATAACTTATAATTTCGCTGGTTCATATTTTTGATTCGGCTGGTAATTTTTTTTTTATTAATTGAAAATATCATAGAAAATATTTTTTATTAAATTTATTTGTTGTACAGATAATCCAAAAATTTTATTTCATTATTCTAAACTTGTTCGTAGTGCAGCCACGTACTTTTATATGGTTTATCGTTACATCATTCGACGGTAAATATCCGGTCAGATATAAATATACGTTGGCCTACAATTTGTTATTTGTATTCACCGTAGGGAGTTGAATCCCTCCTAGATATATTTAAAATTTATTATAATCAATCTTAACGTATACAGTTTTATTTTTAAAATGCTCGGATCTAGTGCCCTTCCAGTTTCGATTATCAAATTTTATGAAAATTTGAATTATGCAGTTTGCTTGAAATATTTTGAAAATTTGACATTTTTTATGAAATTTTCCATTGCGTATTTTTATGTATTGTTATTGTGCCTATAGAGAATATTATGATATAACTATTAATTGTCATTTTTTGTCATTTGTAATATATTTGAATTAGCAGTGTTTTATTACGGCTCTAATTTTTGCGCAGTTAAATATCTAAATTTAAAGTCAAAGCGGAAGAGGTTCAGGGTTTTGACCTCCGCAAATTTCAGTCTGGTCTTAGTCTGCTAGTTTTGGATAACGGCCAAGCCCACATGTCACCAATAGTCGTTACTTGCAGTTGCGTTTGCACATTTGTTTTTTACTGTACTCTCAAATTTCTTACTCATGATGTGTTTATTTACACAATATTATAGCTATCCATTGATCAAAGAAAGTTTTTTATGATGATTTTTCATTTTTATTGATTTTCAAATTTATTGCATCATTCTCAGTAAGGAGAGCTATGTTTATTTAAGTCATACCAACATACCTTACTCTTAATTAAAGAGTAAGATATGTTGTTATAATTACTAATTATAGCATAGGGCTCACTTGTGAATAAGTGGCTAGAGTGACTGGACCTGAATCGGAGGCCCAGGTTCGATCCCGTTTCGAGGAGTCTGATGTCAAGAAGTAGTGACATCGGTTTTCACTTTGATATATAGATAGCAATATGTTTCCAAGTGAAAATAGCCCTCATCCGGTATTGTATTATATTACAGAAATTGTTATAATTAAATTAATCAAACAGAGATGAGACAATAGTTTGGGTTCCCATCTGTAAAACTGAAGTAGCATTAAGGGGTTAGGGGTACTTGGAAGTTTTTAAAAATCAATTTTTATTTTTTCGCATTTTTGTTGGGTGTAATATCTTGAAAATATTCTCTAAAAAAAAAAAATCAGGTTGGTCCGATGATTTATTTATTTATTTATTTATTTATTTATTTAAATATATAGCCCACAGATTTCTCCAAGAGGACTCAAAAATACAATTATTTGACATAATGAATAACAATTAAAATATACACAAAATTACAATATATAGTTAGTAACATAAAATGCTAAGATAAAATTTCATAT